CACCTAGGAGTACCAATGTCTTTGTGCCGTGCTGGCCACCTTTACCAAAGACATGATGCAGTGGCATCCGACTGGAGCAAGGTTTACAGTCATGACCGTGCCCGTACCGGTCGGCGTGTGGGTTCTATACTGTATGAGCCTCTCAACATTGTTTTTTGCAGACTTGCTCACAGACAGCAATTTTTCTGGCACTATGAGCTTTTCAGGTTGGCTCAGTTGTTTTGTCATGTGAGCACTGTTTGCAAGTTCAACTTGTTCAATGCATCTTTTCGTTCTTGCTTCCCTAGTAGGTGCTGAAATGTGCTCAGATCAGACTGACAAGATATGGGGCTACTGGTGGGAGCACAGCGTGGTCGGAATGATTGGTGTGCCACCCGTGCCCTTGGACCACTTGGTCTTCATTTGCTGGTTATTGACGTTTCTTCAGCAAGTGGTCCCATGTGTCACTTGGTCAGAGTTGGAACTTTATCTTTTGGAATAGCCGGCATCCGGCATCGGGCATGGCATGGAACAGGAATGGCCAGCATCCAGGCATGATTTGTACTTGCGTAAGAGGATGCATGGTGTCAGACATCTCAGGCAACAATGGTTCGTTCCGACTGGGTGGCCTACGAGAGATCCAACGACGGCAAGTCCAAAGCTCTTCTGACAGGCCAACAACTCTACAACGACGATGTGTTCTTTGAGCTTGGGACAGCTGCAGGTTTGCATTCCATCACGCTGATTTCTACCAACTGTCGGTGGTGTCATGTGAAGAGACTGTGCCAAACCCAACCGTGGAGGCTGGGCTGAAGAGTCAGAAAGGAACAGGAGAGCCAGGTTTTATGTGTGGCAGGGAGTACTGTACCTTTATCATGTTGAATCAAACAAGAAAGAGGGCGTTTCAACCGGTTTCACCACTTGGCAGAAACAACAGAAACACGCCAGGGTCATGGGCTACGCCAAACCTCTAGCTGAGCAGCTCACCAAGAAGTTCTTCCTTTCCTATTTCCTGGAGACACTTGGCTGGCTGGATTTACGAGGGTCAAGAAATTGATCGTACCCAGTGAAGACAAGGTAGACATGATGGGCTAAGTACACTGTCGAGTTCCTTTTTTCACACTGTCCGATGCATCGAAGACAAAGGCCTGCTGTCCAACTCAATCTCCAAGCTTGCATTCTTGCGATCAACCGCCACCAGGAAGCTTGACATATACATGGGTTACTTTTTCCGCATTGGTGCTATTCAAATTGGTTCTTCTTGCATGCCCAACGTGCCCACCCTTTACAATCACGGAACAACAACTTTGAAGTCCTTGAACTGCACGGATCCATTGGGGAACAATCACCTTGCAACGCTTGAGGCTGAATCAAAAGCTTGCGTTCCACATTGTTTGACAGCAGTTGTTATTTCCTGACCTTTGTTTTGCCTACCCAGTC